GCATGTCGTCTAATAATATGTCAGTGTGCGTGTATAATATTAAGACTGTACTAAAATAACTTAGCTTACGTAAAACCGAATAGTTCAATAAAAATTCTATTAGCAGTATCACTTTTAGCAGAAAGTAAATACTAATGTGTTTTGTCTTATATGTACATATTATAATATTTTTTATAAATATTTGTTTTAAATAAATAAATGAATAACCATGGCTGTAAGTGTTAGTAAAGATTATGTCAAACATCTATAAATTTACCAAAAATTGATATTTTTGTTGTAATACAATTCATAAAAAATAATGATTGCTTCAATGATCCTGAAGTTAGGGGATCAAAAGCTCAAAGGTACCTATGTACTATTTATTATCACTGCTGGTTTTTTGTTTCCTAATACCTAAATTATTAAATCACTTATCATAAATTACCCAAATATAAATATTAAATGTATGCCAATATGTACTCAATTATTTTTAATAAAATATATAAATTAGCTATTTATTTTTTTTATATATTTTCATTAGATTGTCGAGAGAAAGTTATAGAGATTCAGCCATTGGATTTGTTCAGATAAAAATTGAAGGAATTATTATTTTTTTTTATTTATTCTTCAAGAAGATAATGGGCCCCACTGAACATGTTCGTGTGGGGCCCATGAGTTCACAATTTGAAATATAAATACATTAAATAGTTCTTATAAATTAAATATTTGCAATTTGTAATATACATTTCTCACATACCTAACTTTAATATTAATAATATAAGTTATATATATTTTCTTATCTTTGTTTATATAATATAGTATTAAGTAAAAAATTGTGTAGTTAAATAATACAATATAATATGGTAATATAAAACTAAATTTAACAATAGTTATTTAAGTCGTACAACTAATATGATAAATAATGCAGTAACCCTATACGTTTGTCATGAGTCTGTCTATATTTTGTTCTTGTAATAGCCAAAGTGTAATTTTTTTTAAGAATCTTAAAAGAGTTGCTGTGTTTAATTTCTATTGGTAGTATATTGAAAATGTTTGGACCAATATATAGATACGAGTATATGGATTATATTAATTTTTTGTGCATAGTTGGTACATTGATATTAGATATTTGCCAAGTATTGTGTCCGTGTTGAGTTTTAAAAGTAAAGTTATTTTTAATTATGTAAATTACCTACGCTTTATAAAATAATTTTTTTATTGGTAGTACGTTCATGTCGTTATATAAATATTTTGTGTGGTATCTTGAATTTTTTTTAAAAATAATTTTTAGTATTTTGTTTTGGATTTTTTTTATATAGGTTAGGTTAAAAATAACTTTAGATTTAAATTCAATGATAGGTGCAACAAAAACTACAGAAAAATGGAGAAAAGCAACTATCAATTATACAATTTAAATTGTGACAAATCTCTAGGTAAGTACACTAAATACTTTAAGTCCAACACTTTTAGTCAGGGCCGTATTTAAGATGTTGGCACCCGTGGGCAACAAAATTATAGCGCCCCCCCCCCACCACTTTGCTAATAATTAAATTTAAAACTAGTTGGTAAGTAATACTACTAATACTAATTATAGGTATTTGTGGTGTCTGTGTTTAGTATTTAAATACAATTTTAAAAAAAAAACTAGCAAATGCAGTGGCCTGGTAAATATTATTAATAAATATATTTAAAAATGTAAAAAATAACAGAATATAAGTAATATACCTACTAATAAAATATAAAATAAACATAAAATATATAACATATTATTAAATACATTATAATATATAAAATCATTACTTCAGTTTTTTGTTCTTGCTAGGTAAAAAATAACAGAATTTAGGTAATATACTAATGAAATATAAAATATATAACATACTATCAAATTCCTTATAATATATAAAATCATTACTTCAGTTTTTTTTGTTGCTTGTTTTGCTGCAAAATGTTTTTATCACATCTGAGTAATTTAAGCTTTTAGTAAGAGTAGCTTCTATGTTAAGAACTGCAAGACTATAAAGTCTTTCTGAAGACATAGATGATCTTCATTTTTTTTTTTTTTTTTTTAATGCAATATACGATCTATACCACATGAACATGGCACAATAAGTAGATGTGAATGAAATTAGTCATAAACAAATAATTTAAAAAAAATACATCATATCCTTAATAATATTTGTACATAATACTTGAAAAATTTTTGAGGAAAGCAGCCACCCATTAGTAACACTTCAAGCTGATCTTAAATAATTTTTTATTCTACGGAGTGTAGAAAAAGATCTTTCGGTTGAACAGTTGGCGGCCAAATTATAAAGGAACATTCTTAAAGCTACATCAACATAAGGAAAAATTGTAACGAATTGTTTTTCTTTTATAAATTTACTCATGTCTAATAGGGTTTAGGAGAGTTGGTGGTTAATTTTAATACACTTTGAAAATTAACACATTCATTTTTAAAGGATTCATCTAGATCTTGTTTGTAGATAGTTCTCAATGTTTTTGCATCTTCACGGATTTCTGAAGGATCTAGTCATATATTTTTTAAATAAAGCTGCATTTAGATATTATACTGTCATAAGCAGATTTTCTTTTGTTGAGTTGTATTGGTTGTACTGGTTGTAGATTGGGAAACAAATAACAATATTGTACAATTATTGTCAATTACCTAATATTTTGTATTATATTATATTTTAATTATTAAAGTAATGTATAATTTTTCCGAAAACTTTTTTATAGTCTCCGTAAACATTTTGGCGCCCCCTTGACATATTCCAGGGGGGCTATTGCCCCTCCGAACCACCCCTTAAATACGGCCCTGCTTTTAGTCTTGGCATTGCATTTTTGTGGGTGAAATTGGTACTGAATTTGCCTTTTGTCAACGTTCGATGCGTCTCCATAAAATCCACAAGACATTCCTTTTGCGCCAGAGTGACGGACTTGCCTTTAATTTTTTTCTCAGTACTCATAGTAGTCATAGTAACTTTAGTAACACTTTTTATATTTTTTTATACTTGGAGTAGACTACTAAATACTAATTAAAGCAGTAAGGAGATGTATTTGGACTTTTTATATAAGGAGTCAGGAGGTTGGTTAACTCTTGCACTAGAACTTTACTTAATCGATACGTCCCAATGAATTGTTGGTCAGAGAGAACTTAAAAATTAAAATGTTTATTATGATAGCTAATTTTTATAAAACAATTATATCGAGATGATTAAATATATTTAAAAAAATAATAAAGTCTAAGAGTATCAATTTATAATACGTACTACACTTCAAAATGTATGAAGCGATTTTAACTGGATATTTTGGGCAGGTAAAGTACCTATCCTATTACTTGATTAATAATTAAAATGTATGTAATTACCAACGAAAGGATCTTCTTGTGTTAAGACTCGTCTTCCCTCATTTTCAAAGTTCAATATTTCCATATTCATTGCATTTAATTGCATATTATATTATTATATACTTCAAAATCGTCATCAATTAATGCCATATTGCTTAAATTACCTAGTCTACACGCATTATATTAAACAAAGTTAACGAATATATTTACAGTTCAAGGGGGTAGATCGTAGATAAAATATAAAGAATATACTAAACGAGTGTTGTGCAAATAATTCAAGAAAAAAGAAATGAAGACATGTGAAAATGTTGTGTAGAAAACCATTTTCGTCACCTAATTGACTATCGAAGAAAATTATCGAATAGTAATGTCGGATTAAAAATAAATTTATAAACCTTTTATAAAAAATACATAAAACTGAAAATATTATTATAATATAAGTAATCATCTAAATAACCTAACAACAAATAAGTAGGTATACATTTAAAATTGGGTAGAACACGATTCCGTACGGTCTTTATCAGCGTACGGAATCGTTTACATTTTAAGGCATACGATTCCGTACGTTTTGTACCCAAGATTTTAGTGCGATGTTGCCAGATTTCCATAAGGTTCCTCCAAACGCAGTATGCCGGAGCCAACGCCAGGCGTACTTGGCGAACTGACCAATGCCGACGAAAAACGGTACTGTCGGTTTACCATAATCAAACTCTATATATAAAAACCGGACGGTAAAATCCAGTCGTCTGTTTAGTAATATGTTAAGCTTAACGTAAAACAGCGATACAATCGTTACATAAACCTATCAGATAATTTTGTTATATCCTAAGATACGATATCTTATCTTAATTATCCCCGTTGAACGTTATACATTTTACCAAATCGCCAGTCGCTAGTCGCCAGTCAGTAACTTTGTCATTTGTGTTAAGTTGTAAAGTGCGGTGTGTCATACAAATCAAATTTTTAAGTAGTCAATATGGAAGTTAATAACGAAGTGAAGTTTATTTTTTTGGAAAAAGGAAAGCCACTTGCATTACTTAATCGCTATAAATATCGTCTTATTTGAACACGAAACGATGGTTATAAAAAATGGTTATGCATACAAAAATTTTGCTACGCTAGTATTGTGACGAACAGAAATTTACTCCATGAAACAGCAAATGATCATAAACACTCTGAAAATTCAGTCCAAAGTCTTGAAAGACAAGTTTTAAGAGAAAACTGTAAACGAAAGGCAAGTGGTTCTATTTCTATCCGAAATATAAAATTAATTCGAACAGAACTTGCAAAAAACGTTAATTCAGAAATTTAACATAGAGATATACGATCAATCAGAAAAGCTATGTACGATAAACGACGACAAATTTATCCAACTTTTCCAAGATCTGTAATAGAATCAATTGAACAACTTAAAAGTCTAGAGAATAATGACGTACTTAAATTTAAAGGTGACCAATTTGTTTTTGTACCCGAAAACAAATTATTCGTTTGCATTACTACAGAGCAAAATCTAAGTTGTATGGTTGATTCATCAGATTTTTTTGCCGATGGTACTTTTAATTATGCACCAAAGTATTATATCTAGCTTTATACAATTAATTGTTTAAAAAATGGATTTTATATACCCGTGGCTTATTTTTGCTTGCCTGAAAAATCCAAATAAACATACACTGACATGTGGATATTTCTTCAGGAATTAAGTGAAAAACTAATTTTCAAAAGACTTGTTATTCGCAAGTTACATTTAGACTTTGAGATAAGCGCTCATGAATTATATAGAGAGGTATTCCCAAGTGTGGAAATTCAAGCATGTCGATTTCATTTAGGACAGTGTTGGTGGCGAAAAGTAATCATGCTTAAAATATATGATAAATATACACATATTAAAATTATAATATTAAACGTATTAACTTTACAGATAAATTCTGAGCAGCAACTCCGAACATCATATACGAACAACGTCGAGTTAGGAAAATGGTTAAAACTATTTTTCGGGTTGCCATTCAACCCAACACATGACATCGAAAATCCATTCGTTGAACTTGTATCTATATGTCCAAATATAGATATAGGATGCTTATTTTCTGATTATATATTGCATACTTACGTAGAAAATGACTGTTTATTTCCACCAGAAATTTGGGCTCAAGAGCCGTCAGAAAATCCTCGGTAATACTATAATAACTAGGTATATACAATGTGTAAAACTATTAATATAATATCTATATTATTTTCAAATTTTTTTTTCATTTAGTACAACAAATGGATCTGAGAGTTTCCATAGAACATATAATGCACAGTTTCATAGTCCACACCCTTCTATTCATTTGGTTATATCAGTTCTGAAGGAAACACAACAAGAGACTTGCACAAAAATAAAATCAGCATCCAAAGGACGTTTCAGTGAAATGGCCTTAGCCGACAAACAACGTTTATACCACACAATTAACGAATATAAAGAATATTTAATTCACAAAAATATAATTAAATATTTGTCAAATATTTGTAACAAATACCAAGGTATCAAATTATAATTCTACATATTTTTTAAATATTTTTACATACATATATTTTATATTTTGAATTGACAAATTTTTACATATTTTTTTATTTGACAAATTTTTATTAACTTGTTTTATTGACAATCAAATAAATAACAAATTGAAAATAAATATAATAAATGGCAACATTGCACATAAAATCGTACGTAATCGTGTTGTTTTTGGGGTTAATTTGACAATCCATTGTTTGACCAAAATCGTACGGAATCGTGTTCTCAAAAAGGTAAAACGTACGGAATCGTGCTTTACCGTTAAAATTGTTAACAAAACATAACTGAATATAATGAACCGTAGTTGAAATAAAATATCTATTTAACTATCTAATAAATTTTAGGTACATATATTATACATATTACATATTATTATACATATTACTGGTATGCTTGCCATCATATCGGAAGATATATTAAAGTTGTAGCAAGACTTCTGTTGGTTGTTTAATA